TACCACATCGTGCATATAGGCTGGCCAGTTTCACATTTTTCTGTCCTGTCTGCTAGTACAAATACACATACAGATATTAGGTATACGGTCAAAAATAAAAGTGTTAACAATACAAATATACAGTTTATAAGGCTAAAATGTTCAGTCGGCCTCACCAGTTAATTTGTACATTATTTCAACATTTAACGAAAAATTGTAAAACGTAATGTTACAGACTCCACACGTCTCTGTGTAAATTAAGGAGAAAACTCAGCAATTATGCGCAAAATTGGGAAATAAGGCGCCATCTAGGGGAAAGGGGGTTCAGTGTTAAATTCTGTATTTTCCTGTTTTTGTTTATTGAGTCCCCGTTTTTATTAAAAGTGTAGACCCGCGGTTCCTCTTTGGTTGCCTAGGTCTGTATGGTTCTCATATTTTATTTATTTATTTTTGATTTGATTTTATAAAGTAAGGTGGCTTGACTCAGAAATATGAACTGAGATGCTTAACTGTGTTTGAAGGATCAGTTTTACCAACATTTGAGCTATGTCAAGTTTAGGTAGAAAGCAGTGGTTCCATGGCAGTTTTTGTCTTTAATTGCAACTTTAATTGGGACGCACGCCAGTTCCGAGGGCGGATTCTAGGGACATTTGGAAAAAAGTCCTTTTATGGAACTAGTGTCTGGCCCACTCAACGGACCGAGGGAATCATACGGATGAGTTAGGGTTGTGAATACTTCTCTAGAACCATTCCATATCGTTCCGTTGATCGTTCACCTGAGTCTGTGCACTTCAATTTATCCAATGTAATGTAATGATATGACAATGTCCTTATCGTTTGAAATATGGGTGATATTGGAAAGCGATACATTGTTATCCCACTCACAAACATTTAAGAATCAAACTAATGAATGTAATGTTTGATGTGGATCTAGACCTACAAATTAATAAATTCTATGACCATACATTGTGAAATTATCAAAAAATTAACTACGGTGGCTTTCTTCTCATATAGTCAGTGCATACATTTGAAGTACTAGCCACCATGATTTGCTGAAGTTCAAATGATATAAATCTGCAATCTTGGTTTTTTTAAGTTTCTGTTATCATTCAGTGTGGTAGATGATATTTAGTACTCGTCAATAGCTTTTATACTTTCAAGTCATCTTCAAAAGTTGATCACCTTTTTGTTGGTTCCGAAGTTTAAGGTGTTACGAGTGCATTCTTTTCTCACAATACAAAACTTCATGTTTGAAGGCTACCTAAAGATAGCTTACGCGTCCCTTTATGATGGATTAGCTTGGTTTAGAAACCCTTTTGATATGAACTTGAAGTAATGATTGTGTGGGCCTACAACTGAAATGTGAGGTTCATCTTGAAGTAATGTGACTGGATTATTATTACTATTAAAACACAAATGTTACATTATAGGCATGAAGGGATACTCCACATCAAGTCTCATATTTTGTGCAATGGCTGAGATACTATCCGGACGCCCAGATCGAAGCAGGTGGTGCACCCCTCGACTCTGGCGTAGACGAGATGTTCGACTGTCGACTAAAGGGCGGGTGTACTGCTCATCAGTCCGCTCTGTCCTTCTTTATAGCTGTCAGTGAGACCTGGCCAATGAGAGTGGAAGACATGAAAAGAGTGGCTAGCTGTCTTTGATCATAGGTGCCAGCGTTCTATCTCCCGTGTGAGGTGGTGTAATAAGGTGAGCAATACTGAGGTTAGGAGTGGGTCGAGTTCTAGGTAAGGAGGGGAAATCAATCGACGAAGTCGTGAAGTTACAAAGACTGAGATGGTTAGGACATGTGTTACGTATGCTTAGTCATCGCCTTCTTCGACTAACGGGCAATGTTAGCTGACATATGGTCAGGCTGGAAAAAAGCTAGCGGAGGTCAAACAAAAACTTGGCACTAGTCAATGAAATCCACAACAGTTAGTCTAAGCCACGTAGGAAGGTGTAGACTTCCAGGCTGGGATCCTCGGGACGGTAAAAACAAATGGTTGGAAACAATTGGTGACATGGCTCAAAATCGTTCTCAATGGCTGGGTGGCTCAGATGCATCCACTCCTTGTGACTTATGATCTCCAATGAAACTTTTGTTCTTCGTTATTACTCCTCCTTTGTCTCACGCCTCTGCTCACTGTCTCTATTATGCTTTTCTTGTACTTTCTTCTCTTGCTTTGTGTGCTACACGGAGTATGGCGACTTGAACTTCCGCACATTTGTGCAAATTTCCATGTCGAAAACAGACAGACAAACAGACCCCTCGAGTCTATAAATTGAAGTCTGATCCATAAGGTAACGTGCGCAGCGTCAGGACCTGCGTTTTCATGGTGACCAAAACAGTAGCATACGCTGTATGATCCATTTAGATTGTGAAGCTCATTTAGACTTTCTGTTTGGAATGAGGGTTTTCCAGCTCCCGGCAGATTGTCCTGTCGTAAACATCAGACTTTTGTATTCACCCTTTCACTTTTCAGAGGAATACATGTGTCGGATGAAATCAGTGAATGGAACTTACCTGACAGAGATTGTGATCGTGTGGCCACATGAAAGCGTTTGGAGACGAAGACCAAAGTCTCCCTAGCTTCAGTCATACCAAGTCGTTCATAGGGACTGTGGCTAGATTATCTAACTTGCACTATCCATATTTTTTTTCTTCACGTTCCCAGTGAAACATAGGGCTTCAAGCTAGAGACTTGAAGTTTCTGTGGCAGTGTTTAATTTTACAGGATGAGGTTGCTAGCCTCATGCCCAACATTACCTCTTTACCAGCATTATTTCTTGCCTAGCGAGGTAAAGGAGTGCGTCGGCCGTGGATCAAATCTCGGACCATGTGCATGGTCGGCGAGCGTCCTAACCGCTGTGCCACCGACGCACGCACTATCCATATACGTCAAATTAAACTTTTTATCCATTAGTGTATTAAGGCTTTAAAGCGTCTTTGATGGAGGGCTAAGGTGCTCAAGTTATTTAGCATTCCATAAGCAAGTTCAGCCTCAAACTGTCAAATCAAAGATCCTCTTAGGATGTATACTCAGAAATTTCAGCGGCCATGTGCGTCGGTGGCACAGTGGTTAGGACTCTCGCCGACCATGCACATGGTCCGGGGTTCGAGCCCACGCCGGCGCACACCTGATATCTATGGTCGGCCTGCAAAATTTGGGCTATCGATATCCATGCTGAAAATTCCATACTTGTACCAAAAATACAGTGTGGAATCAAGCTGTAAATCAAAAATAAATAAATAAATATCGCTGAGATAATATTGAAAATCGAAACGAGTGATTCAGCGAAGAGACACTTTTCAACGAATTTATCATCAAGCTGTAAAATCGTATATATATGGTTTTTAAGAAGTTATATCCGGTGGGAGAATTGAATCATAGGTGTGAATGCATAAAATAATAATAATAGTAGTATGAAATGCATCTAAAATGTTTGTGATTATAATCATAGTTAAATGCCAAGTGGCAAAACAATTAATGTCACATACAGAACAATTCATAGGATTTATAGAACTAAGAAGGGGACGTGCAATTATAGGATTAGTAGGCAAATCGAATAAGAACATTGTGTGAAATTTGATGACAGAACGTTGCAAAACAGAAATGATTTAGAATGACAAGTGGAACAATTGAAATAACACCGGGGGCAGTTCAAAGTGAGGATAGTAATAGTAACAATCGACATAATAAAGGAAGAGTATACAAATTGAAGAGACAAAATGGAAAAAAATTAGTATAGCCAGAATATTATTATTTTATGCATTCATACCTATGATTCAACTCCATCACCGGATATAACTTCTTAAAAATGAAAATGAAAAGTGTTTAAATATATTTTACACATAGACTACCTAATTACTGTATTTTATTTGTTAAAAAGAAATCGGGAATCGGTGAGGCGAGAAACACCTTCATCCATCAACCTGAAATCAATCTGGAAATCTTCGTCACTCAGAATCAACAAGAAAATTCGGATCTTCAATACAAACGTCAAGTCAGTTCTTCTATACGGATCAGAAACTTGGCTGGCGGGTCACAAAGAATATTTCCAACAGCCTGTTGCAGACCTTTATCAACCAACAACTGTCTTCGCTGGTTCTTTACTGAAGATCAGATGGTCGGGCCGGAAAGAATCACCAACACGAAACTATAGGAAGAAACAAAAGAAGAACCAATCGCCAACGAACAAATATGTAGAAGAAAGTGGAGATGGATTGGACACTCACTGAGGAGGCCACTGAGTGACATCGTGCGCGCGTCAGGCCATTGCTCGAGTGGAACCAGGCCGAAAGGGAAGCGGCGAGGGGGATGTCAGTGAAAGGGTGACATAGAGGAGATCGTGTGAAGAGGAGTTGAACCAGTATGGATTGACTAACATGGATGCAGGTTGAAAGTACAGCAGAAGGAAGACAGAAGCAAGTGGAGACGTGCAGTTGAAGCCCTATGTTCTTTTTTTTAAATTTTTGATTACAGCTTGATTCCACACTGTATTTTTGATACAAGTATGGAATTTTCAGCATGGATCGAACATCGGACCATATGGATGGTCGGCGAGAATCCTAACCACTGTGCCACCGACGCACACTAGGAACCCAAGGGAACAATAATAATAATATGTTAAAAAGTCTTTCGGTGAATATTATTCGCTTGCTGTTATTTGTGTTAGTAAACTGTCAGTAATTTCTAGTGGACCGTGTATTTGTTGAAACTGATATTTATTTGTTGTCATCGTATTTATGTGTTTGTATGTTAGTCTTATAATCTAGTGTAAATAATCATGTTTATCGATTATTCACCTGATGAATGTTGCTGAAATTCATGATTTCGTTTTATAATGTTTTTTCCACAGTTGTCACTTTTTAAAAATACCAAAATGTGATGAACTCTTATCTTCCAGAAACGTGCAATTGAGTCTTTATTAACATGTTATGACCATAAGTGATAAACTTTCTGTTTTTTCTTCAACTTTTTAGATGATTGGTGTATAATTTGATCATCGATACTATGGATTTAGACGTATGCCTAGAGGGTTCACCGGATATACAAATAGGAGAAGTTTATGAAGTTTTGAGATCTTCTGGTCAATACTGTAATTAGTGTATATAGCTGTTGTGAAATCAAAAAAAATTGTCCCTATTTTAGATCCTGCAACTATAATCGAAAGCCGTATAAATAGTGCTGGTGGAAATAAAGAATATTATGTACATTATTGTAATCGTATGTGTTTATCAAAAATGAATGCATATTTCCCAATGATTTAGAGGATCGAAGACTTGATGAATGGGTTACAGAGGAACGCATTAGTTATTCTGCAAAGTTAAAATCTTCTGAATCTATTGATTGCTTGTCAAATTCTATTGGAAATGATATTCGATTCACTAGGAATCAAAAACGCAAATTGAAAGAAACTATTAAAGTTCATCAGGTAAATTTATATATATTTTTTATGACAACTAGTTTTCATATGGTAATCTGATAAAGTAGCTTTGTTCTGAGTTTCTGGGGGTGGATGCATCTGCGCTAGCTATTGAGAACAATTTTGAGCCATGTCACCAATTGTTTCCAACTATTGGTTTTTACCGTTCCAAGGACCCCAACCAGTGAGGAAGTCCACACCTTCCTACGTGACTTAAACTAACTGTTGTGGATTTCATTGACTGGTGCCATGTTTTTGTTTGACTTCCGCTAGCTTTTTTCCAGCCTGACCCTATATCCGCTAACATTGCTCGTCGAGGGAGGCGATGGCTTGGCATACGTGACACATGTCCTAACCATCTCAGTCGATGTAGCGTAACAACCTCGTCTACTGATTTCTTCTCCCTGCTTACCTAGAACTGGACGCCTAACTTCAATATTGCTCACCTTATTATGCCACCTCACACGGGAGATAGAACGCTGGCACCTATGATCAAAGACAGCTAGCCAGTCTTTTCATGTCTTCCACTCTCATTGGCCAGGTCTCACAGCTAGCCGTAAAGGAGGACGGAGCGGACTGATGAGCAGTACACCCGCCCTTTGTTCGATAGTCGGATATCACGTCTACGCGAGAGACGGCGTAAACTGGCATATGCGAAACTAGCCCTCTGTATCCGTACTGAAATTTCGTCAGAGATCAACCCGTTGGCACTGGCTGATGGTACTTCCCAAATAAGTGAAGCGGTCAACGTGGTCTCACTTCAGTGTAGTCCAGTCTGTTCTTAATTTACCAACGAAGTCTATATTACATGCATGCATTTTACTAGAAAGATACTGCTGCTCTTTTGTTTCAACATTGTTATTGTTGTCAATCTTGGCGAGGATGAGTATCTACAATTTTAGTGAAACTTGACCCTACGTTCCACTGGGAATGTGAAGGGAAAAGAAATCAGTCAGTCAGTCATACTAGAGATGACGTATGTTGGCAAATGTCCCACACCAGCCTTTTGTTTCCGTGCTGAAATTTCATCAGCAATAGATCTATGGGGGCTGATGAAACAACCGTCTGTTTATAAAAGTTATTAGTATTGAAGATGTCATATGCCTTTAAAGGAATTTACTTTGTGATTTAATAATTTTCAATTTTTTCCTTCACGTTCCCCAGCGGGACATAGGGCCTCAAGCTAGTGGCTTGAAGTTTCTGTATCAGTGTTTATTTTTACAGGATAGGGTTGCTAGCCTCATGCCCAACCTTTCCTCTTTACCAGCATTATTTCTGGCTTAGCGAGGTAAAGGAGTGCTTCGTCGGCCGGGGATCGAACCCCGGACCATGTGAATGGTCGGCGAGCGTCCTAACCGCTATACCACCGACGCACACTTTGTGATTTACTCATTCTGAAAGTCTTTTAGTGTACTTTGATAAGAAGAAGCGCTTCACTGCAATCCTTCTTAATAACTGGGATATGTTTTGCTTGTTAGTAAATTAGAAGTAAGCATCAAGAGCATATTTATTCCTACCTTGTGAATAATTATTTCCCTGTCGTATAATCTTTTTTTTTCTCATAAGAATGGATACTGAACAAAAGAGTACTCTTTTCGATAACCCCTTCATCATCAGGCTCTACAGTTATATACACACATTATAGTGAATGAATGAATGAATTACTTACTTACTTTACTTCGACTATCTCCTACGGGAGGATGAGCCGGCTTCATGAACGTCTCGAATCATCGCTGCCCAGGCGCGGTAATTTGTAAGAGAGTTCATGAAGTTTCATGGGAATTTGGTACGAGTGATGTCCCCAGCATCGCTCGGCCTTTTGTTTGAGAGTGCAGCTCTAGCCTTCACACAGCCAAGTGTGACCTACAAGGCAGTAGGAGTGGAGTAAGGAGTCCACTATCCATTGGTAGCCGGTGACCGGAGTTCGGTTCATACGCCTTTTTGAATGGGGCCAGACATCCAGGACATCCAACAAGCCCTTTGCCCATACGTCTGCCGGTGAGCTCCAGTGAGCTTCATACGCTAGTCGTTGGAGGTTTGGAATCAGGGTTTAGCCATCTCCCCTAGACCGTCATCCAATGGACAGTCAACCCGGTGGAGAGCGCCGGGCATTGCTTAAATAAATAATATTGATAGATTACAGTTCAATAGCATCAACATAACAATAAACTCAATGTCAAAAAAATTAGGAAATAATATTACAAATTCATGAATTTATAGTCTCTACTGAAGGCTAGCCAGGGGAGTAGAAGTGGCTGGCTGGACTTCCTTCTTTTGAACACAGAGCACTGGTTGTTTGAAGGCGAATTGCAATAGCCTCTTCTGTTTGGAGCATGCGGTGCTTCTATGATTTTGGCAATTTATTAAGCACCCGGTGGATTATCGAGAAGGATTCTCCTCCACGCTGGCTGACTTTGTGGCCGGTTTGCACCAGATGGTCTAATATCGAACTATTAATGGTTTTCACTACACCTTTACTTAACCATATTGGGAGGTGTTCTCAAGCGAGCATGAAAAATGAAGTTCCTGGAACAACGGCCAATATAAATCGCTCCTCCACAAGCGCAGTTGAATTGGTAGATACAATTTGAAGTGACTAGCTGGTCTAGGTGCTTCATCTTTCAGTCAGTCGAGGAATCACCATCGATCGTGTAGGGAATAAGACGTGTAGTTCTCCGCCAGCATTAAAAGTTCTTTGAACTGATTTTCTTAATTTCCTCGTAATTATCTCACTTGGTATATCACCAGTTTCACATTCCCCTACATAGTTTTTCGTATTTTTCTTTTACAACACAGGAAAGTGATTCTTTGGATTCAACTACACAAAAATTAGAACTTGAACATCAAGAGGTAAGAATAATGTTAGTGTTATGTAAAATTATCATTCAACTCACACTGCCTTATCATTTTGCTGTGTGTGTGTGTGTGTGTGCGTGATGTTCTGTTATGATCTCTGTATAATTTAGTAACTGTGATGGTATCATCATTGAAACTACCAAATCAATGTTTTCCCACTGCATGATCGATTTCACCATTGATTTGTGTGAAATTAAGCCCACTTTAACTACCTGAATGGCTGATAGACGTGGTCCCAATAAAAGGTGGGGACATTATGCGGTATTCAGGTAATCAATGTGAGGGACAAAGGAAGGCAACATGGAGAAATCTGAGGGTTTAGTGAATATTAGAGGTCATATAATGAGTGGAGACATCAGCGTCACTAAGAGCAGTTGTTTTTTTGAGCCATATCATCACCAGGAGTTTCCAGTCATTGGTTCTTAGCATCCCTCCCGAGGATATCCCTAGGTGGCTGGCTGAAATCAACAATCAAAGACTTCACGTGGATTGATGCCGGCTTGTGATTTGGCTACACCTAAACCTTTTTTAAAACTTAGTCATCTAACGTTACTTGATGAGGGAGGTGATGGCTCATCATGTGCGTAACACGTGTTCTAGCTATCTCAGTCGATGTTGTCGCTTTACAAACTGACCGACTGACTTTCCCTGTCTACCTGACATTTTACGCTTAACGTCACTATTACTCATCTCATTATACCATTGAACATAGGAGGCAGAATGTAAACATCTGTAGCCAATATGAATATTCATCGCCCAATCATGTTGCTTCTAAGTAATGATTAGCTGAGCACTAAGAAAGGTCACAGTGTTATCCACAAATAGCATTACTTTAACATTCTATAGTACATGTTTGACTACTCAGTCACTATTCCTACCCTGGGAAGGCAACATTTTCTTCGTTTAGAAGGAAAGCAAATAAGTGGAAAAATGCAACTACGTTAACAGTTATTTTATTTGAACAGATAATGTATTTATGTTGCATTTTGATCGGTTAATAACTTGTCTTAGTAACTTGAGCTAGCTGAGAGTTCTGCTGACACTCTTAAAGTGAATTTCGCAGATTCACCTTGTTGACTGGGTGAGGTTAAATGAATGACCACACTCGGGTCTTGTATATGTGTCTCCGAAACAACCAACATACATCCATGGCTCGAGATGCCAGAGTTCTAGCTAGTGATGTCTGTTGTCCGATTTGGCGGAGGGTCCTGACGTTAAATGGTCCTATATGAAGTTGGCTTCATGGCTTTGAAGGAGTAAAAAGAGATACTCAGGAAGGCTTTGTGTGCTTTTGGAAGTGTGTGGGCGGTTGTTACTTCCCGGCTGCCCACACCGTGGAAGTTGATTGATTCTTCGCGTACCTGAAACGGAAATAGAGTTAGTGTTGCGTGACTATGAAGCCCAAGGGACAACTGCTTGAGGCCAGTCGGTCACACACGGCTTGTGTAAACTGGTTTCTGGGATTGGTTCCGTATTAGTAAACTTACCGCCGGTGACGGACCACCGTAGGGTATGTCGGGATGTACAATTCTAATCCCCTCTCTCCGGAGTGGAGAGACAGCAAAGCTGGCTGACATGCTGGTTATCTGAGTGAAACTGCTGTTACACCCCTGTAACCCCAGCAGTACAACTTCGCCATCAGACCCCCAGCATAGTGTAAGAAAGATTCTTACACAAAGGCGGTAACTGCTTTTAGTCTGATTGCTATCCTAACAACCTTCCTGGCATGGTAGGAACACTGGTTCCAGCCAGTGCAGCTTGTTGGGTCATCGTGATGTGCAAGCCAGACCACCACGTCAAGGTAGCAGCTGTCGGTCGGGACGTGGCTTTAAAAGGCTATCTGAGGTGTTTCTATGGTTCTCACCGTTGTTTGTGATCACAGAGTGAAAATAACTTGTCAACAGAAATTCATTTATATATAACCTTTGAAATAGGTTCACAGCTAACACTGATCCGCAATATGTTCACACATTTCGTCTTAACAATGTCAACCAACTATCGTTTTGACTTGCTCTAAGATTTTAGCAATTTCGTTTAAGTTCATATTTTCTCACTTTCTATTGACTGTCCTATATGCTTAATTGGTGGATGGTGACTAGCAGTGGAATCCAGGACCGCACATTTCGCCCCATTCCGGGCTCGTCAGCTGGATGTACTGTATTCTCCAGTGAGTGATGATGTTCCCACCGAAGCTCGAACCCAGTGTCCATAGTTTCAAATGCCAAAACGTTATTTTTATTGGATACTAGTAACTAGTGTGACGTGTCTAGTCCTTTCTTTGATGCAGACTGAATTCTATCAGTCAGGTTTTGCATTGTGGTCACCATTCTAGGTAGCTCACCATCACGGTGCACATTGATCTAATGATACCAGATAGTTGGAGGCAATCGACCACAGGAAGCCCCACTTGACCTAGATTTCGTGCTAGTTGATAATCACCAGGTAGTCAGTTAGCAAGGCGTATCTCCAACCTTGAGGGAACTCATATCCCTTCTGAGATTTGAGCCTGCATCACCCAGTGCTTCAGTCAGAGATGTTACCACTGAGCTGTATGGGTTGGCAATTGTGTTTCTGTAGGACTGCAAAGCATATCTTGGGTGAAAAGTGTGTAATAAGTAATATCAAGCATCTGTTCTTCCGTTTAGTGCAAATCGTATTTTATCAGTTAAGTTCAGAAGTTATATGAGTTCTTTGAAGATTGCAGATATGTGTCTTGCTGATGAGTGTCAACAAGTACGAGACTAAGATTGAAGGCTTCCTGCCTATTGATTGTCTCCAACCATCTAACAACAATTCAGGGTGCGGCATGGTGGCCAAATGAAGGACTAGACGGATAACATAGGTTACTACTTAGTGTTCAGTGAAGGGATAAAACTTTGTTCAGGATACACAACTAGGTTTAACAAGTTGGGGTTGATGTGAAGTAAATATCTGTTTCCCAAGAATAGATATGACCAAGTTGTGTTTTAAGTGAATTTATAGTCCTGTTTCTTTAACTGATTTTCTCATTTTAGCTTTTGCGTTAGATTTCAATTAGTTTCATTACCAACCGACATCACGTAAAGAATTACTGAAGATTAAATAGCCTCCTACAGTTTTCCCTTTGGTTTGGGACTCCAGCAATGTGAGACGATAACCCTGTCGGGGATCAATAGATCTAGGACCTTATGGTTGTGAAGTGAGCTCACTGACTGTTGAACCATTGGATTGGAATCCAGTGTCTTGTGAATTCTAAATTCTATCATTTCGCGATAAAGTTCTGCGGTTACTTTTTCAAAACACAACCTTGGCACATTATGGGCACCAAGAAGATGCGTCAAATATTTGATAGGGCTAGGATAATGCCCAGGCTTCCTGAGTGAAACAGGTGGTTGTCTTAAGCGGCTACGCCTCTCGATCCTTTGACTTCGAAGTCTGATGCACAAGGCAAGCGAACTGCATCAGGAACTACATTACCATGGTCCCTGGTGACCGAAATACGATCGGTTCGAATTGTGGAGCCGATACACACAATAGGTTTGGAACGTGAAGGTTTTCTGGCTCCCCTATATAGACTAGAGTGTCCACCAAGTAAGGGCCAAACATTTGAATTCACTCGTTTTGTTTTTCTGAGGAACACCTGTGCCTCGTGAAAAGTGTAGTGAATAGGAGTTACCTGGCAGAGGCTATGATTGCATGCCCAGATCAGATTATTTTGAGTAAAGGAACGAACTTTGTTCACTTCCGGCCGTATCAGGTCGTTTATGGAAGCTTTGTGTCGTTAATCAATCCAGTCAATGAGCGTACGCTTTACATCCGACATAGTAGGTAGAGTCCACCTGCCCCGACTTGTCATTAGAAGTGTAGGACATCTTATCCTAGTAGTCACTAATAGTCAGCTGGTTATTAAATTCCAGTCTGTTAAGTGGGAATGGTGGACGAGCTAACCTCTTAAGTTAAAGACCCTGGATTCGATCTCCAGTAGGTGGGATCATGGGTACGCTTTGCTTAGGTAAAACAGCTATCATTGATTCTCCTTTAGTTAAACTTTAGCTACCACTGACTACCGATGGAGTGTGACCGCACTCATGACCTTTGAACGCTCACTGAGAAAGTTATTTTGTGAAACCTGCCTGGTAATGTTGTCATCACCAATAAAATATGTTCATCAAAGTGTTATGTTATTAAATGGGATATCTGGCAAGTTTTAGCTTAGGTTTGAGAAAGATTTAGTTATGGTTTAAGTCGAAGACAAATTAAGGTTAGGTTAATCTGACAAAGGCCACAGTAGGTTTGGTTCGAGTTAGATTATAGTTAGGGTTAAGGATATTTTCACGTTAGAGTTGGGTTCAGGAAAGATCATAGTTATTGTTAGGGTTAGAAGACCTAAATAATTACATGCATAGAATGTGGTTAAATTACTCTGTTGATATAAGAATAGAACCTGCGCACTATGGTGTTAGAGTATAATTCTATTGTGAGTAAACTTTATTTTGATAAAGTCTCACAGTGTTATACCGTAGTAATATTTACTGATGACTATGTCTCGAGCACAATCTATTGCTCAGTAAATACTGCTGTATAACATGATGTGAAACTTTATCAAAATAAATTTTACTCACAATGGAATTATAGTCTGTTGATATGCTCCAGCCTAAAACTGTGAACTATTTTTATCCCATGTCAGAATAAGGTATCCTCTGTAACACTTTTATACAGTTTTTATGCAACTTTTTTTCATAAATGTATATGTATTCCATACACAAAAATGCCTCCACGTGATTGGTGCTTTCGAGGCAATTCGCTGATTGGTAGTTAGTTAGTGGTTCTTAAAGTTTAACTTTGCCATTGTTCCCTTGGGCCCGGCCATCTGATCTCCAGTATAGAGCCAGCGAAGACAGTTGTTGATAAAGTTCTGCAACAGGTTGTTGGAAATATTCTTTGTGACCCGCCAGCCAAGTTTCTGATTCGTATAGAGCAACTGACTGACTTGACGTTGTTTATATTGAAAATCCGACCGAATTTTGTTGTTGATTCTGAGTTGAGTGACGAAGATTTCCAGATTGGTTGTTTCAGGTTGATGAATGTGTTTCTCGCTCGCCTTCCCGATTCTCGTTCGATTTGACATCCTCATCCGTTCCCACTGTCTGTAGTTGAGACAATGCTCCCTAGATAAGTGAATGAAGTAACCTCTTTCAAATCCCTCCCGTTGATGGTGATTGGCGCTGGATGTTGCTGTTGTTATTGTTTTTGTTGGTTGGTTATTTTCATCACCTCCGTCTTGTCTATGTTCACTTGGAGTCCTGTCTTCGCTGGCTGCTTCTTCGACTAGTTTGCCGGTTTTCGCTGTAAACCTTCTATTTTGCGTGACATCTAACATAAATCATGCATGCACGAAATCCAGGTCTTCTAGGTTCTTCACGTCGGTCCAGGATATCCCTCCTTGTCTTCTCGTTTCCCACTCACTGTCTGACGCATAATCCAGTCAGTCCACCACAATTAGGAATATCATTGGTGATAGATAGATAATAAGCCTCCCTTTCCTGACTCCTGTGTTTACTGTTTTTATTTTTCTCCGGTGTTTGTTCATATAGTTTACTCGAGTGAAATTCATTGATCAAATACAATTTGGCAAATATGAAATTGACACCTGGTATTTTTCGCCTTATCCGGAAGAATGTAGACAAGTGAAAAAGCTATGGATATGTGAATATTGTTTAAAGTATATGAAATATTGTGAAACATGGTTAAAACATGTACAGTATACTTGTAAAATGAAACACCCTCCTGGTAAAGAAATTTATAATCATGGAAATCTTTGTGTGTATGAATTGGATGGAAATGTACAAAAGGTAAGTAAGTAAGTAAGTAAGTAAGCAAGCTTTCTTTATTGCATGTCCTTATATGAATAGTTTATGAGTTATATTATTATTATCATTATTATTTTTCCTTTAAAGTTCCAAGTGGGACATTGAACTTCAGTAACCCATCTACACTTCATCCTGTTCTCTGCCAACCTTTTTAGCCGAATCCACGTTTGCTCATAGACTGTCACCTCCTCCTCTTCACACGGTGTCCTCTATGTCAACCTCCTACCCACACCAAACTCACCGTTTCCCACTCGAGTTCCACTTGATCGCTTGGCTCGCACTGTTACTCAACAATCTTCTCAGAGTGTGTCCGATCCACCTCTGTTTCTTTGGGCACTAGGTTGGTTGGTTGGTTGGTCTCCACAGTCGCTTGTTGCTTATCCTTTCTGACCAACCATCTGGTCGTCAGTGTGGTGGCGCAAAAAGTGCGCAGCTCAGCTGTTGATTAAAGTCTGTAGTAGCCTTTTTCAGAATGCCTTTCGTGATACATGTGCCAGGTCTCTGAACTAATCTTTTCAAGCTGACTTCAGAGTGGTAAAGACCTGTCCTGTCTTGCCTTTCCGTTACTGGCTTTGAGATGTTTATCCTTATCCGCCAGTAGTGTTTGAAATGATGGCATCTGAGTAAGTGAAAAAAGTGATCTCGTTCAAATTTCTCCCGTGTTTGTTGTTCTTGGTTAAATATCTTCATCACTTCTATCTTCTCTATGGTCACTTGAAGAGGCTTGTCTTCGTGTTGCTTCTTCAGCCAACTTGTTGGTTTTTGCCCCGTAGATATGCGAGTTCATACGACAGGGGACATAAGTCATCTGCATATATTCTGGAGTCTTGTGACTGCCGTGGTATTCAAAGTTTTGTGTAAGGTAGTAGCGTATAGCTAAAGTTGAATTGGGTGATCACTTAAAGATATCTCACTTGAGGTTTATACTTTAGAAGGGTCCCAGTGGTCTATGAGCTCACCTTTTAGCTGGAAGGTCTTGGGTTCTAACCCCAATGGGTACGTACTGTTGAAGAGCTCCGAACTAGAAGCTAACAGCTGTCCATTACCGCCTCTTTTTTGTGTGCGTCGGTAGTTCACTGGTAGAACACTCGCCAACTGAACACGTGATTAGGAGTTTCATTCCCAGTGAACGCACTCCTAAACCTCGCTTAATTGGTAGTAAGACCAGTGAGGAGGGAAGGTTAGAGGTGTAAGGTTAGCAACTCCACTCTGTAAAAGAACACCATTGTTACTGAAAATTTAAAGCAGTCACATGGTTTACTTCAGAAGGCGTATGGTCACAAATTTATATTAATTGTGTTAATCCATTGGAGTTTATCCCGCGTATGGGTTCGAATCCCATGACTTTGGCGCTTAAACTTTATAATCTTGGTAATGTTTCAATGCAGAACAATTAAACGACCTATCACTTGAATATTATTCCCACATACACACACAAATATACACAAAACACTGACTGACTGACTTAGAAGGCAAAGGTATTGATTGCTCCGTGGAAAAGGGAATATCGTTTGCACCACCGATAAATTACTGGTTGAAGATAGAATTAAAGCTATATTCTGACCGGATAGCATACATCAATAAGAAGCGCAATGCGGTGACTCTTATTCTACTCCAGGACCAGGTTTCTCGTTTTCGGATCACATTAGTTAATTAGATCTCAATTTTCCATTACTGGGCTATAAGATACACTTCGTGTGTGTGTGTGTGTGGGGGGGGCTAATGGTTACTAGCCAATTGGCCAGGCTGAATTAGGTGGAACGCGACTCGCAGCCGGGCCCATCGGCTGGAAGTCGAGTGCTTAATCCAATGCACCGCCTCCAGATCACTTAGGAAACAACGACTCAGAATACATCTCCTTCTCAAAGAATTACTTAGTTCGTGATCACTCACCACTGTACTCCAAGGCAATTGACGATAGTCTATCATCACTGCGCGCGTATCCAACTGTTTATTTTAATCATCGTTATGTATTGTCTAGTAGTCAGGTAGTAGTAGTAGTAGTAGTAGTAGTAGTAGTAGTAGTAGTAGTAGTAGTAGTAGTAGTAGTAGTAGTAGTAGTAGTAGTAGTAGTAGTATAGTAGTAGTAGTAGTAGTAGTAGTAGTAGTAGTAGTAGTAGTAGTAGTAGTAGTAGTAGTAGTATATAGTAGTAGTAGTAGTAGTAGTAGTAGTAGTAGTAGTAGTAGTATGTAGTAGTAGTAGTAGTAGTTAGTAGTAGTAGTAGTAGTAGTAGTAGTAGTAGTATAGTATAGTATAGTAGTAGTAGTAGTAGTAGTAGTAGTAGTAGTAGTAGTAGTAGTAGTAGTAGTAGTAGTAGTATAGTAGTAGTAGTAGTAGTAGTATAGTAGTAGTAGTAGTAGTAGTAGTAGTAGTAGTAGTAGTAGTAGTAGTAGTAGTAGTAGTAGTAGTATAGTAATAAGCAGTATAACTAACTTACTCAGGAAGAAATGGAGGTGATTGTCCACGGGTGACATGGAGCAGGGGGTCATGTGAAGAAGAGATGAAAGCATGTGGGCAGACTTGGAGCCAGGTGAAAACTTTAGCAGAGAACCGAACGCAATGGACACGTGCGACTAAAGCCCTATGTTCCTCTAGGAATTAAAAGAAGAGTCTCGAACTAGGACGAAACAGCTGTCCAGTACTCCCAGGTTTTCCATCGGTTCTCTAACTGATGTCAGCTCATGATGAAATCCTCCATACAATCAAACAAAATCCCTACAAAACCAATACTTGAAAGATATTAATAATGCTCAGTTTTACCGTACAACTTCTCACAGAAGTACAGTAGTTCAGGTAGCTACACTCCATGTAGAACACACAGACCGGAGAAAGAAGAGATTCAAGCAAGAGAACTATAACAAACAGAAATGTGCGGGAGAAACAATAATTATCTGGAGAATAATTAGGACTTAATTTTGAATTGAATTTTTGATTTTCCCGTCGATTGATTGGACCGAAGTGTTCGGTCTCAGGTTGACATGTCGGCTTCTTGTGCAGATGCTTCGACGATGTCTGGGGATTTGATTTGTATACAATTGGTGGATGGTGGCTGGCAGTGGATTCCACTGCCAGCCACCATCCACCAATTGTATAGGACTTAATTTATTTAGAAAGATTGCAAAAAGTGAATACATGTGTTCTGTTGAGGACGGTATTAAGCCGTATCACCAAAAGTCTCCAGCCACTGGTTCATAGTATCCTGACGTCTCCAACGTGGGAGTGTACACCTTCCTACGCGGTTGGCTGTAGCTAACTGTCAACGAATTCATTTCAGCACTCCTAACTATTTTCTAACCTAGTCTCTCTTATATAAGCCAACATTTCTCTCTGAGGAAGGATAGCGTCTCGGAATGCGTAACACATGTTTTAGCCGTCTTAATCGATGCAGCATTGATATAAGAATAAAACTTGTGCACTGTGTTAGAGTGTAATTCCATTATGGGTAAATTTTGTTTTGATAAAGTCTCACAGGGGTGTTATACAGTAATGTTTACTGATGACCACGTTTCTAACACAATTTATTACTGCTCATAATCATATCAAGGCACTACTCACATGATTTCCTAACTTTTTTATATAGTTCCATTGTTTTTCACTTGATTTGATTGGCAGAAGTATTTTTCATATTTCGGGTATGAGTGATGAATCATTCGTATCGCATGTGTTCGGTGTAGACTTGATGAACAAGGAAGGATTCATTAATCAACCTCTCTCTCCACCTATCTAGATTACTTTTTAGAATTTTAACCCTCTCCCACCCTATTGTCTGGTTGTGTGTTATTGCACGCATTGCAATAGCTGAGATTTTTTCTAAATTACTTATCTTCTCGAGGTCAACCATTCTTACCTTAGCTAAATTTTTATGTTCTGACAGCCTGACTAGCCTTGATTTAATGGTTTGGCTTATGTAGTTGACCTCACAGTTATTGCAGGGTATTTTGTAAATAATATTATTTTGTCTAATTGGGTCAACCGACAGGGTCCTTTAACCTACAGAGCTTGTCCCACCTGAGTGAGTTTGTAGGTTTAAATGCCACCACCCTGATTCCTGCTTTATTTGGAATCCTAAGTAGGGTCTCAGATCTCCCCTCCTTATATGGTATAACTGTAGATGACTTATTTTCTGTCTTATTTATCGTTAAAAAGAAAAATAATTGTGAAACTAGTCATTGTTATTGTTTGTTTTTCTCATGACCCCGATTCGGGACATAAACATTGACGTAAATTTCTGTCTACCTATTCTGGCTAGCAGACAGCTCTCAGCACATCTTGATGAATGTTGACGACGACATAAAATGAAATTATTCTCTGCGTTTCTTTTAAATCTTCCATTTTATTTTCTGTTTACAGGAAAAAGTATCAGCTGATAATTATAATCTTGCCTGTATTTTAACATTGCCACCATTTCAAAGACGAGGTTATGGGCATTTTCTAATCAGTCTTAGTAAGTGTTTCAATGAAAAGTATATTGCCTTGCTTTTTTATTAAAATGCATAAATACTCGTTCACCATGTATAAATAACTGTTTTCATAACACTGGGGAAAAAAAGGATTATTATTATTATTATTGTTACTGTGATTATTATTTCTAGACAAAGCAATAAGAAGACGTAATATGTCTGAATCGTGTAATGTGTATGTGTTCGGGCGACCCACATATTTCGATCAATCTGATCTCTCACATATGGACTTGTCAAAGAAGTGTATATGTATGAAATTAATGAAGAGTTAAGAGGTGAGAAAGTAGACTACTTAGGGCAAGTTAAAACAACATATTGAATGTGAAAATAACAACGAAGATCACTTAACCAAATAACAGAGGTAATAGTACATCTACCCTGGCTCTAGTATCAAAACAAAATTTACCAAGGAAGGTGATTTAGTATGATGATGAATTATTGCTTTGAATGCATATGCATTGAAGACAGACACACTTGATGAAGAAGAAAGAAAGTTGACACAAACTCTGGTTGATAACAATTATCCAGAAAAGTTCATCAGGAGATATAAAGTAGTAGTCAGTGGAACACCAAGACCTACTCTCTCTAACTCCGTCCCTAAGAAAGACGTGTACATCAAGCTACCCTATATGGGACATTATATTAGCTTGATAACTAGACGAAGATTCAACGCTGCTGTAGTTAAGACGACTTTTTATGCAGCTAATATCAATCCATCCATCTAAGCTGTTTGAACATGCGAAAAATGATGTCACATCCCACTGTATTTACCAATTTGAATGTATGTGTAGACACACATACATAGAAGGGAGGACTCATCGATCTCTGCAAGTAAGGGCTGGCTTCAGAGCATATTCCTAAACAAATGGAATCTTCAGAAGCCATTTAATGGTGAGAACAGGAGACCTAGCTTCTCTATTACGAAACACATATCGTAGAGACAGGATATAAAATTGACGTTTACACATCTTTTAAACCTATCTATTAGGCGTCTCTGGGAGATGACGTATCCTAAAGTTTGTGCGAGCCCTAGCTGGCAGTTAGGAGGTTTAATCCACCTTTATGCGTTCAAAGCAACAATTCGTCATCACACTAAACCACTTTCCTTGGTAAACTTTGTTTTGATGATACCATAACAGATGTACTGTTACCTCTGCTATTTGGTTTAGTGATCTTCATTGTTATTTTGACCTTGAATATGTCCTTTTAACTCGACCCAAGTCTAGTTTTTCACCCCTTAACTCTTTATTAATTTCATGCACGTGTACAATTGTATGACAAGTCCGCGTGTGATTGATCAGATTGTTCGAATTATGTGTGTTGCGCGAATACATACATTACACACATGATTCAGACAATTTACGTCTTCTTATTGCTTTGTCTAACATTCATAAAGGGAACTAATTGTTTTAAAATTATTATTTCTATTCTCTTAGGTTCCGAGTAGAACTTAGCGTCTTAACAATATATTTCAATTTTATGCTGTTCTCTTTAGTCCTCTTTAGCTAGCTGGTTTCACGATTGACTACCACAAGCTTTCATCGCCTCCTTACAAGATATCCTCCATGTTACCTACCTAGCCATGCCCATCTCGTTGTTTCCCAATCGATGGGTTGTCTGTCGTGTGATGTCACCTAACGGTCTTCTCATCATGTGTTCGACGCATCATTATTTTCTTCGGCATATATTTGTCGGGCACTAGGTTGTTGGCTGGTGCCTTCGCAGAGTTCCCTGTTGCGCTTATCCTTTCAGGCCATCTGACCTTCAGTATGAAACGAAGTGTGCAGATGTTGATGAAAGTCTGTCGGAAATACTTTGAGTCACGTGTTCACCAAGTCTCTGAACCACATAGAAACACTGGCTGATTTGACATCCGAATCTTGTTCTTTATGCTCAGTACAGTAGACGTCCAAACTGATTTCAGGTTGACGAATGTCTGTCTTGCTTTTCCGATCCTCACTTTGAGATCCTCTTCCATGCCATTTGTATTAGAAACGTTGGTCAAACATAAAGATGTGCAGCATAGTCAGAGTTCTCTAGCATTATTGCTATCAGTTTTTTTGGGGTGGGGTGATTTCAAAGCCGTCAACATGTACTTGATACAATTCATTGTCTAGACCATGAATGGTTACGTGGTTTCAGAATGAAGCCATCGTTCGTACAGCCCAATAAACTGTCTACAATTAAGTATCTTAAACTGGAGATTAGTGGAATACTTGTTATACGTCTTCCCTACTTTATTCAGCCGTTATTTAATTAAGTGTATGCGTTAATGTGTGTTTAATGCCTTCACGAAGCTGAGGTGTTCTCAAAAAGAGCGAGAGATTTGAATGATAGCATCTGGTGCTCATAACCACACTGGTGGACATACTGGTCTGCTTAGGGGAGATGGGAAACTCTCGTTCCAAACCTTTGGTGTCTACATAGGCTTCAGAACCTGAATGGATTGAACCTGTTTCGGTCACCTGGTACCACTGAAGCGCAGCTCCTGACTCTGCTCCACTGCATTGCTGACCAGACTTCAATTCAAGGAATCAGGAGACGATGGCTTAAGGCAACCATCTGTTTCTGTCGGGGGAAAATCTCGCCTTCGTACTAACTGTGAGATTTTGCGTAGTGCATCTGTTGGTGCTCATAATGTACCATTAAGTTTGTGTTTTGTTGAATAATAATAATAGTAAATGAGTGTTAGTTTGCTTGGAGTATAGTAACGTTTCCTTTTGTATGCACTCTAGAATTCCACCCGCATCGGTAGCCTGCGACAAATGGAAGATGTTTACAAAAGTTCCCGATCCTCTTGTCTCTTACTTGCTTCTACTAATCAATGGTGTTTCTGCAGTGCAACCTTAGGGAAGCTCCTATCATATCTAAAAAACTTTGTCACCAAGTTGTGTTAGAGTTATTTACGTCTTAAGCTGTTGGGCGATCGGTATTTTAGGTCTTAAATGATAGGGTGGCGTGTTCTACTTTTTTTTTGTTTTCCTTTCACGTTCCCCAGTGGAACATAGGGCCTCAAGCTAGTTACGTGCAGTTTCTGTAGCAGTGGTGATTATTTTTACAGGATGAGGTTGCTAGCCTCATGCCCAACCTTTCCTCTTTACCAGCATTATTTCTGGCTTAGCGAGGTAAAGGAGTGAGTCTGTTGGCCGGGGATCGAACCCCGGACCATGTGCATGGTCGGCGAGCGCCCTAACCACCATGCCACCGACGCACAGCGTGTTCTACTGATAAGATTTATAAGTAGTATATAGATACAGATATAAATATACATATGTCATTTGCAGGGGTGTCGAATAGTGAAGAGACGGATTTAACGGTGAATAGAAGAAAGGAACTATGCTTATGAAACAACTTGGAAAACAAGAGAGAAAGACAAAGAAACACAATGCGGACGACAAAAGTAGCACAATTCCTATGATACGTCCAGATTTTAATTCTAATATTATTATTATTATTATTATTATTATTATTATTATTATTATTATTATTATATAAGCTTTATTCCAAATCAGTACTTGTGATACAGAATGGAATTCTCAGCATTTTACTACAATATTGCATCCAGTTTTTTGTTTACATTAACAATAAATAAAGTTCTACATAGTTTAAAGATTATCTCAACAACATATTAGTATGTCGGTATGATAAACGAATATTGCCTAAATCTGTACATCGAGTTGCCAATGAATAATGACGTTACCAAATATTTTTGTATCATGCCATTACATTTGATGGTGGTCTAAAGGCTGTTTAATCTGGTCGAATATCTTCTGCAAATCTTCCAACCAACCAAAGTTTGACTCACCTCAATGTCTGTACATCTGAGCCTCTATCTCTTTGAAGTTTTCCCCTAACTGACTGTAAAACTCTGCTCTACCAAAGAACTGTCATAGTTTCCTGTTCGAATTCAGGAACGTAATGTTCATTGTCGTCAAGATTTTCTCAGACATTCCTCTTGGCTATCTGAGATTTCATCGTGTTAATACGTTAAGACTGCCTGCACCCGATAAATAGTGCACAGTGTCTTCAGATGCGAGTGACTGCGGAATCGGTGTAGTACTAAGACAGTGTGTTATTGAATTTACCAGTCGTGTTCTAACACACCCGGAGCAGACATATTCAACGATCGAGAGTTTATGTTTAGCAACAGTATGGGCGTTAGACAAATGGAGATATTATTCACTCGATCAACGGTTCCACATTGCAACTGATCATAAGCCACTACAGTGACTAAAGACTTCGAGAAATCCGTGTGAAAAATTGTCTTGGTGGATGTTACGCCTGCAGGAGTATGACTTGACGACCTCTCTCATGTTCCAGGGCAGAAGAATTTGTTGGAAATTTTTTTTTAATCTAAACCGAAAGATGAAACTGACTTGTCGGAGATTGCTTACGGAGTACATGCGTTGGAACAAGATGCATTATGACTTACCTGCAATCAAAGATCTGATCGTACCCTAAATAGAATGATACAGGTAATCACTGACGGAATGGAAATGAATCGAATTACGGTGAATGGAGAGCCAACTATACTATGCAGATAGTAGGACCGAATACGACTGAACCCCAATGGAAGTTCGAACTAGAAAGAAAACTATAGAAGCTGGTTAATGGTAATACCTCAGTTCTTATGCCATGGGATGATTTACATATTTACATATGTATCTCTTTACTACTTATAAATCGTGTCAGTAGTACACATCACGATAGTAAAAGTTTTAGACAATAGAGAACACGCTTCATCCATTGTTTCATCAATACTCTCTAGCTTTGTGTTCTGAGTTAACTTATCTGTTTAATATGATGTTTTTATGGCTTTTATTTTTTAATATTATAAAGGTTATGAATTAGCCAAGATTGAACAAGTTGTCGGTACACCAGAGAAACCATTATCCGATTTAGGTCGGCTGAGTTATCGTAGTTATTGGGAGAAGGTTATCTTGAATTATTTTTTAGAGCATTCAGATTGTACTATGAATGAGATAAGGTGAGTTTTTTTGGCAAATGTTATTGTTACAATTGAACTTTTGATTTTTCCCGTGGATTGAATGGACGGGGGAATGTTCCGCTCCTGTAGACATGTTGACTCTTATTGAGTACAAATGTGTCGACGATATTTGAGGAGTAACTTGAATTAATTTGGTGAAAAGTGATAAGTAGTGGAATTCAAGATGCGAGTTTCTCTCTAGTTGGGACTCGTCATCAGGATGTACTCTGCATTCCCCGATTAATGACAGTGTTCCCAGTGGGACTCGAACTCCAGTATCTGTCGTCTCTAACATCAAAGCGTTGTCCTCAAGACCTCAAGGAAGCCATCTCTTGTGCATTCGGATGGTTTGAACATGTCACCAAGCTGTTAGAACTAAGTTAGTCCAGATGTGATCGACTGCAGATATCGGTGGTTTTCAACTACATTCATACTGTTTGGCTGTAGTGGCGAGTGGTTACTTGTCTCATGCCCCACCTTCCCTCTTTTGAGGGCTTATTGTCGGCTTATAAATAGACAAAGTTTGGGAATTCTTATACTGAGGAAATCGAATATACACTTCCCACGAATATAACTGAGAGTTCGACTGGTACGCACTATAAAGTGAAAGGCTTATATTATGCTGTATTTCTTGTTAAAAAGACAGTAGTTGAGTAGTTTAACTGAATTTTAGATTTTCCTGTCTATTGATTGGACCGAAGTGCTCGATCTCACTTTGACATGTTGGCTTCTTGTGTAGATGCTTCGACAATGTTTGTGCATTTAATTAGAATTTAATTTGTGGATAGTCACTAGCAGTGGAATCCAGGATGCGCATTTCTTCCTATTTGGGACTCGTCGCCCGGATGTGTCTGCATTCCCCATTAAGTGAGTGATGATGTTCCCACCGAGGCTCGAACCCAGTGCCCATAATTTCAAACACCAAAGCGTTATCCACTAGACCATTTGGGTCACGAGAGCCACCTCTTGTGCAACGGGTCATATTAATTATTGAATTGAATTTTAGATTTTCCTGTCGATTGATTGAATCGAAGTGGTCGTCGGTGTCAGGTTGACATATCTGTCGGCTTCTTGTGCAGATGCTTCGACGATGGTTGGGCATTTAATTAAAATTTAATTTGTGGATGGTGACTAGTAGTGTATTTCCGTTAATGCCTTATTAGCCTCAAATCTTTGGAAGATTACATAAATTCAAAGAATAATGTTGAAATATGTTACGGTTCAGCTCGTTTTTCCTATACAAGAAATCAATGATACATATAGATGAGACATAAATGTTTGGGTTGTTTTACTTTTTCCTCTGAAACAGGTATAGAGTGAGTAGACTTCAGTTTTCCTCTGAGAATTCCCTCATGTGGCTAGACGTGCATAGCCTCTACCAGTTAAGTCTTATTAATTGTCTTCGCACTTTAGGGCTGTTCCTCAAGAACATGAAAAGGTGAATTTGTACGTTTGGCGCTTAAAGCCTCTTTGGTTGACATGCAAATCCACCTAGGGGAGGTGAAAAATCCTAATTCCAAACCTATGGTGTACATGGGCTCCAAAATCTGTACAAATCAAAGCGTGTATGTATCTGTTTTAGTCACCGAAATCCATGGGGATTCTAGTGTTGACTCTGTTCCATTGCTTTGTGCACCGGACTCTAAGTCAAAATACTGCTTACTCTGTGATCACTGTGCAATCCTGTGCAATCTCTCGTATTCAATCCTGGTCATTTTATAGGTTAGTTATTGTGACCGAAAGGTAGAATGTTCACCAACCACGTCACACATGGTCTGGTGTTCGATTCCCGGCCGACTCAATCCTTTACGTCGTTAAGCCGATAGTAAGCCCGGTAAAGAGCAAAGGTTGGGCGTGAGGCTAATAACCCTGCCCCGTAAAAATGAAATCACTGCTACCAAAACCTCAAAGCTCGACTCGTGAGGACGTATGTTTCACTCGGAATGTAAAAGAATATAATTCTTATGAAATATCGTGTCTGCTCATTACGTCAGTCACGGATAGGACTCAATGTCTTGCAATATAACAGGTGCTCGAGCACTTACATCTCGTTTACAAAAATTTAGTATCCTAATGCTCATACTACAATTAGATATATTTTGTCGACTCTTACATCCCGAAATCTAGAGCATAGTTTAAGGTCGTTGCTCCGGCCTAATACTGAACCTGATGTGCATAACCTAACTCATTGTGTAGTCTGGAAACCAAAAAGAATATGTAGACTTGCCCAGCCGCATGCCGGATACGAAATGCACCGTTGGTATTATGGATGGGATTAATCAAACGGCGTTGAGTCTTAGTCCGTCTGATGGTAACTTCGTACCTGTTGACCTTTTGACTGCAGGCACTTATATCAACTATTTGAATGAACTTGGGGGTTCCTCTCGTTATTTGTGTATTCCTTTACATTCTCAGTGGAACATATATATAGCTTCAAGCTAGAGCTCTGAAGTTTCAGTAGCGGTGGTATTTATTTTTACGGGATAGGGTCGCTAGCCGCATGTCGAACCTTCCCTCTTTATCAGTCTTATTACTTGCTTGGAAGGTAAAGGTGTGCCTCGATTGGAATTCGAACTGTAAGCCACCTGCGCAGTTGGCTAGTATTCTACCGCTGTGCCACCTACGCATGCGGTTTCCTGTCGTCCTAGACAGGATTAACATAATGTACTCATTGGTAGGGTCAAACTAACCTGTCTTATGACGGTCCATATCATGCTCGCTTTGTCTATGAGTGAGTGGCCGATCTATCACTTGATGAATACTGCTTCACAAAGATAAAAACAGCTGACATGACATTAGGGTTCGAGTCCCTCGCTCCACTCCTACTTCAGTCTGGTGAACTGGAACTATTCCACAAAATACATGTTTTTTAAGTGTTGGTTTGTAGGGATTTGGTCGATTGGTTACAAGGGTTTAAACCCCGGTGGGTGCGTACTGATGAAGAGTCCCAAACTAGGCTGACGAAACAGCTGTTTAGTACTCCCAAGTGGTTTTCCAATGGTTCTCTAACCAATGTCAGCACATGATGAAATCCTGTAACTTGCTTCTAGCCTTGGTACATAAAGGATCTATTCCGAGTTCATAAAATCAATTAGCAGCTTTCTTAGGGTCTTATAATCTTTGCTTTTTTTCCCTTTTTCTGTTCATCGATCGATTGTTTCACCTATTCATTTTTCTTTTTATTATCAGTAAAAATACCTGTATTGCTATTGATGATATAATTTGGACATTACAAAATCATCCAGTCATTACAAATTGGCAATATGGTCAGCATATACATATACAACGTGATATTGTACAACAATATCTTGATCAGTTGAATGAACAACACTCAGCTAAATTATGCTTTCATACAGATAGTAGTAAACATCGTAAAATGAATAAAAATGCTTATCTTCTTGATATTAATCATTTGAAATGGGAACCATCAACAAAAAGAAATAACAATAATAATAGTAATAATAAAGAAGTTAAGTATCATTGAATGAGTAACACAGTCGTTACGTGCATTTGCCCTTTTTCAGAGAGAGAGAGCCATTATCTTCTTAGTAAATTATTGTTTTTTGCACATGATTAATAACATCATTGAGTTTTTTTTTGTAAAAAACACACTTTTTTATGTTATCTATTTTGATAAATGATAATTCCGTGTTGATTATTTTTTTCTCTCATTTATATACTACTTATTTCTGTTTCTATTTCTATTAAAAGTTCCCTGGTGTTTATGTTTGTGTATATATATGTGCTGTATTCATATAAATGTGCATTTATATACTTTGATAATCGTTGAATTTTTTTTTTCAAGTGACTTAGTTGCACGGGTCATGTGTAAGGTGGAATCAGTTGGCGAATCATTGGGAAACTATTAGTATCAAGGGGGTATACTGTGTGAAGTGGTATTGTAACAACAGAAGACAAGGGCCAGGCAACAGATCGTTTTATTATAAAAATCAACACGTATTTATACATATTTCACATACATTATTATAGACAAGCGCAGTCATCTGATTGGTTGTTTATCTGAAGTTAGGCAGACAAACGCAGGCTTCTGATTGGTTGTTTCGGGATTCCTTGACAAATAGAGTTCTCTATCTGCGAATCATATTTTGCCACGTTAATTTTGCTGTGATTGGTTGTTGACTCAGCCTTGTTCATATTTTCTCACGGCCCATATTAACGTAGCTTAGTGTCAACCAATCGGCTAGCAGCCTGCTCTCACCACAGTATAATAGGATGAGCAATGTTGGCGTTAGACGTAGGTAGAGTGCTAGGTAAGAAGGGAGGTGGGGGGGGGTCGGGAAATCCAATCGACGACGAGGTTGTAAAGTTACATTAATTGAGATGGTTAAGATAGTCTTCCTTGACGCCCAAGGTCAAGGTTAGCTGGCATAGGATGGATCAGGTTGGAAAAGGCCTAGTGTGGTGGCTTCATCAGTCAATGAAATAAATCCACGACAGTTAGTTTAAATCAGTCACCTAAAGATATGTAGACTGTTGTCTGGTTGGGGGGCCTTCGGGATTTTTAAGAACTAATGATGACTGGCTGGCGCGTAGATGTATCCACTCCTTGTGAGAATTTATAATATCTAATAAAACGCTATTATTATTCTTCCATATTACTATTCTTTTTGTCCCATATCTCTGTTTTGAATCCTTTTTTATTCTCTTCTTTTACGTTATGTGCTACGTGAACTGTTTGACATCTGTGCAAAGTTCTACTTTGAAAACGGTCAGTCAGTCACTTCAACCGTTTTGTCCTAATTTTGGAATCTTCAGTAGTGTACACCCATCGGAGTTTGAATCCAGGAGCTTCCAGTTAGCAGAGGAACTTGTAGGACCATTCAGCTATCGGGATCTGATTCTGATGGGCCGATGAATCCAGTTTTTCGCATCTCTTTACAAAACATATCAGTTGAAATGTGAATATTTTCGTGTGTGTTGATTTGAAAAGGGTTGGCGTTGGCTTGATTGATTTTAATGTTACGCCAGTAGCTGATTGATGTCAATCAGAGGAGTATTGAAGAACATCTACGATTAATTGTAGAAGTGTTTCATCCCAGCTTTTGAGCTCGATTCCGGACAGGTTGGGGCATGGGTGCGTCTGTCTCTCTCTGTCTGGATTCAACATAGAACTTGGCACCGAAGTCTGTCTCTGTCTGTCTGTCTGTCTGTTTTCGACATAGAACTTTGCACAAATGTGCGGAAGTTCAAGTCGCCACCGAAGTGCACCAGTTCGAGTTGCCACGTTCCAAATAGCACACAAAGGTAGACAAGAAGATGAGCGAAGATAATCAATACAGTCTGACAAGTATAAGAGTGAAACAGAATGGGTAATGGTAGAAAGGAATATGAAAGATTACAGAGACTGAATACATCTCCGCTGGCCATTGACAACGACTTTGAGCCATGTCATCTATTGTCTCCAGCCATTGATTCCTAGAGTCGGTCCCAAGGGCCCCGACCCGGAAGTCTGCATCTCCCTACCTGACTGACTCAGTTTAACTGTCGTCAAGGTTTTTTTTTAGATTTACAGCTTGATTCCACACTGTGTTTTTGGTACAAGTATGGAATTTTCAGCATGGATATCGGTAGCCCAAATTTCGCAGGCCGACCATAGATATCAGGTGTGCGCCGGCGTGGGCTCGAACTCCGGACCATGTGCATGGTCAGCGAGAGTCCTAACCACTGTGCTACCGACGCACATGGATTGATGAGGCCGTGTTTTTGTTTGGCCACCAACCTGCACCTATATCAGCTAGTAATGCCGGTCGGAAGTAGGGGGCGATGGTTAGGCATGCGCACCACGTGACCTAGCCATCTCAATCTATGTGACGTTATAGCCTCGTCGATTGATTTTCCCTCTTTGTCCAACACTCTACGCCTAACGTCAACATTATTTACCTTGTTAAACCACCTATCGTGAGACAGGGATCGCAGACATCTAAGATCCAAAGCAGTCAACCTTTTCATGTCTTCAACGCGTATTGGCCATGTTTCAGAGCCATGGAGAAGGACGCAGCGAACTACTGAGCAGTACACACGTCCCTTGGTTAATAGTCGAATGTCACGCCTACGCCAGAGGTGGTGTAAGTTAGCGAAAGCAGCTCGAGCTTTTCGGATCCGTGTTGAGATTTCATCGCCAATCAGTCCGTTGGTGCTAATACAACTTCCCAAATAGGTGAAGTGGTCAACATGTTCTATCACTAAGCCAGGAGTTGACGTAGTCCGTACCGACTGATGAAGAGTCGCCAAAAAGACGAAACGGCTGATCAGTACTCCTCAGTTTACAATAGTTCTCCAATAGGAAGTCAATTCACGGTCATAATCGATATGTACTGTTTTTTTAGACTTATAGAATTCGAATCCTTATTGACAGAACATGGCATGAAATTATTAAATGTAAATAACTTATTCGGTGGAACATTTCAAAGCGTTTGTCACTCCATCTGTTTTGGGGTGGGGTGGTGTGGATTTGTGATAAAGCCCAAATCAGCGTAGATAAAACTAGCCAGTTTTTCGCACTGGTCATCAAATTATTTCATTCCTGACTCCAGGAGTAGTCAGACATCTTACTCTTTATCCAAAAGGTTTACTGGATATTGTATTGTATTATCGAAACACAATCTTGATACATCAAGGGGACTTCGCAAAATCTGATAGTTTGTGCGAGGGCTGGGATACTACTCCGATGATCAAACCGAAGCAGGTGGTTGTCTTATGGGGCCACCCGTACCCTGACCCTTCGACTTGAGGTCTGATCCAAAAGGCAGTGGACAAGCGTCAGGAGCTACATTCCCATGGTTGACGGTGACTTAGTCTGGTGTTCATGTGACGTTCGATCCTTTCAGATTGTGTAGTCCGTGTAGACTATAGGTTTGGAATCAGCTTTTTCCAACCTCCCGTGGGTAGACTTACATGTTCATCAGTCCTGCTGCAAGTGCAAGACTTTCGCATTCGCCCTTTCACTTTTGTGGGGGACACCCCTGTCTCATTTAAATTGTGATGACTCTAGAAGAATTTGCTTCTTTCTTTGATACATTTCATTACAAGTGTTAGTTTATAGGGATTTGATTGGTTACAGGTTTCACCATGAGCTGAAATCAGTTGGAGGACCATTGAAAAAACCACCTGTATTGATTATTGGTGTTCCCACTGAGACTCCAACCCAGAGCCCATTGTTTCAAATACCAAAGCGTCAGCCACCTCAATGAAAGTACCATCACTCCCTGGGATGGTACAGATACACGCAGCTCATGAGTCCCAAATAGGACGAAATGCATATCCTGGATTTGACTGCTGGTCACCATCAATTAAATATTAACAAGATAATCTTCAGACATTGTCGAACTCTCCATAGTAGGAGCGGAAATACCCAACACAAGTCAAATGAACATATTAGATTTGCCTAACACATCAGGCTTATTTATAATTATTGTTATTTCCTTTAATTCCCAGAGGAACATAGGGCTTCACCCGCGCGTCTCCTCTACGTCCGTTACCCCACCAATGTTTTCACCTGGCTCCACGTCTACCCACATGCTCTCATCTCCTCCTCACATGACCTCCCCCAAGTCACTCTTGCACTGACGATCGACTCAGAGCTTCCCTTTCGGGTTCCACTCGAGCAATGGCTTGTGTAGTGATGTCACTTGATGGTTTCCTCAGTGTATGGCCAATCCACCTCCATTTCTTACTGCAAATTTGTTTCACAATCGGTTCCTGGTCGGTTCGCTCATTGCCAGAGATCCTTGTTACTGATCTTTTCTGGCCAGCCATCTGATCTTGAGTAGTGTTGAGCGAAGACAGCTGTTGATGAAGGTCTGTAGTTTGTTTGAGGTGCTCCTTACGACGCGACAAGTCTCTGATCCGTATGGTAAGTAGCACTGACTTCACATTGGAGCTAAAAATCCGTATCTTATTTTTGATGCTGAGTAGTGCTGTTGACCTCCACATAGACTTGAGAATAATGAAAGCTCGCCTTGCTTTCCCGATCCTCGTTGCTTTGATATCCTCGTCAGTTCCGTCCACCTGTAGTTGAAACGATGCTTCCCAGGTAGGTGAGGGAGGTTGTTTGTTTCAGGCTCCTCCCATTTATGCTGGCTGATTGTTGTCTGTTGTAGTTGCTGTTGGCGTTGGCCAGGAATTTTCATCATCTCTGTTTTATCTATGTTCAATGTCAGGCTTATACGGATAGTGTGTCCAGAAACTGTCAACTATACGAGGATATAATAGATGTACAAAATTTACTAACATATTTTGTATATCATTCCCATTTTCTCGTTTCTTTCCCATGTTTGATAAATGTCTAATTTCTGAAAATTTTCCCTACACTATGTGCCTACTGATAAGCCTGTAAAAGTAGTCTATTAGAAAATAAATTTAAAAATGGCGTTTGTGAAAATGTCTGTGACCTGTCGAAGAATTACCACAGTAGTGTAGGAAGGACTACACAATCATTATCCCATAGTTATCCAGTCTTTACCA